GATTTGCCCAACGGCTACTCACAGTCCGCGTAAGAATACAACCTTGTCAACCAGAAAGTGCAATGAACTGGGAACGCACCCACTTTCTTTACTAATCCCTGTTTCCTGTAAACAGGGCAGATGCAAAGTTAAAATTGTATCTCAGGGACCAGAACTCGGCCTCCCATCAATAGAAAGGAAAATCGTTCGTAGTGTCTCTGTAGCGCAATGGATCGCTCGTTGGACTTTTAATCCAAAGGTCGTGAGTTGGAATCCCACCTGGGATGGCCTAATTTCTGTGAATGTGATTTCTTTTTTACTATACTATTTTAATAGAATAATTAAATTTAATTAATGAATAAGTCGCAACAAACAAAATATAGAAATAAAAATGGAAAATTGCAAGGAAAATCACTTTTTATTTTGTCACTTAATATAGTGATTCTGTCATATGTATATACATATTTGTATTAATTGTACCTATTTAATGAAAAGTAACTAAAATAAAATTTTTCTTTGTTGACCCATAAGTAGAAATTCACTTAAATTTGTTTTTTAATATTACTTGTTGTATTTGCAAGTTCGATGCACATGCTTTTTTGTATGTTGTGAGCATGAACTAAAGTGGTGGAATTGCATTCTGAGTCCTTTCTGCTATATATATATGAAGCTTCTTATTTCATAAATTATCCTTAGTAACAGCTCAAAATAACATTCGCGGCAAAAAATAATTGTTATCAAATAACATTGAAGTGTTATCCCAAATAATATTAAAGTGTTATTTCAATTAAAACATTAAATATTCCAAAATATTCCCCAAAAGAATATTTAGTATTTTTATAATTAAATCTCTCAAAAGAAGCTTCTATCTATACAGTAAATACATAAAATTACAGTGTTTTCTTTATTATTTTCTGCTACTTATGACTGAGAATTTACAAGTTATTTTTATTTTTGACGAAACACTCATAGATTTTATTTGTATGAAGATTACTTTTTCTATTTGTTTGTGGAGTAAATTTATCCACTATGCAACTAAATTTTGGACTATTTTGGTGGTATACATCTTATTTTTTTTGGGGATGATTTTTCAAAAGAGCTAATTTTTGTTACATACACTCTATAACATACAAAGCTACTCATCAAGACGAAATTGTATATGCACGTACATTAAGATAGAATATGTAAATGATTAATTATATATATTGGTGACCAATGAATGACGAACAGAAGCTCCGACACATTGCAACGAAGTATCCGGATGGAATATACCAATGCTTAAGTAAAACTTCTATGAGAATGGGATTCCATCGACCCAGTTGGACTGCAGCAATGCTTTGTAGATGGATTTGCAAGTAGTATGAGCAGAAGTTATAGCAAGATCCCTCGACATTTGGATTGGAGCAATGTTACCATTTTACGATGTGCACAAAAATGGATGAACCAGCAAGGACGTTGAGGTCGATCGAGAGCGACGACAGAAGGATTATCCTATCTGTGTCCCCAGACCTTATCAATGATCCAACGTGTTATCGGGATACCATTAACTTCATTCATCATCGAAAGGCGACTCAGCGAATGGGCTGAGATGACGAAGGCAATTACGCTGACTGCCTTTCACCGCTGCACATTGCCAGGTACATTTGCAATGGTACCGGGTGCTTTCGACCTGGAATATCACGGACTAAAATATAATTGTTTTCGGCGATGTGTTCTGTTTCGAATTAAGCCCCGATAGCCAGCGAACACGCATCTGGAGACGTCCAGGACACCTGCTGGATAATCATCTGACTGTCGTCTACAACACAATCCAAAAAATAGGAATTACGGTACGGGATATCATTTCATTTGGCAGCCAAATGCCTTTGGTAGTCATCCGTGATATCTTTTGCATCACGGCGGTATGACTAAATTATATGATCTGTAGTGGCCTTTTTTCCCCCCCACACAGACCTGAGCATACGTTTCAGTAAGTTGATATACCCAGACGCCACATCGTTTTCTTGTTAGTCTAAGACTTCCTTGATTGGTGTGATCGCCAAATATCTACTCAAAATATCTCTTTTGAGCTCTGATGCACAGCAGTCCTTGACCATCCCTGGATCGCGCCGTTTGTAACGCGTACGGTAAGTAATCTCATAAGAGGAAATTAACCAACTCTGAGTCAATACGAGTCAGGTAATAATTTGCTTCAGGGACAGATGTAGGCCAACAACTCATTTTTTTTTTGCTCTTTTCTGTGTTTTTGGAATAAAGTATTCTTATTCATATGCTAGTGTTAGCGTTCCGTTTTCATTACGTCAATAGTATTAATTGATGTTGATGTGGAACATTGATAATTTTTTTGACGTAATGATACAATGATCAGATTCAGAGATTTTCGTTCTGGTACACTTTTTAAAATATTTTTTCAGTTTTACTGAGAAGAAGTGTCTCGGTACCTCCTCATGTTGGTTAAGGTGAAGATCTCACGCTCATTAATGTCTGGGGAGATTCGAACACAGCATGGATGGGGAAGCCATTATTAGTATGGTATCTTCAATGTTTTACTTTCTTATTAAGTTAAATGCTGGAAATGAGTACGCGATATGAAGGCATGACAAACTAAGAATAAGAATCAATTGGTACTTATTTGAATTAAGATGCAACCTCTCAGACTTCATAAAGTGTCAATTTTCCGTGATCTGATATCTTACAAGTGAGCTCGCAACTGTGATTCAAGTACTAAATAAGTTGACAATATATCATCTACATTTTTCTATTATCATCAATATTATATGACGTGTCTCATACACGCACTGACTATTTATATACTATTTGGTAATGGGTTCACTTGTTTGGAGGTGTTGTTCTGGCCAATGTGGCTGAAAGAAAGAAAACCCGAGTTAGAGAAGAAAGACCTCGTGGGTAGCCCATTGTTACAAAGGTAGTAGAAATAGTATTCTACTACTACATTCACTAATATTTTTTATTCCCAATGGTCAGGATTATAAAAGACCACTACACTACAAGGTGGTAGGAACAAAATAAAAAAAACCCAGACAATGCAAACAAAGTCAGAAATAACACCGTGGCGAGAATATGAACCCAATAAGTCCCAAGCTTGCCAGTAAAGATCACACAAAGAATCCCTTTAGTTCTGGCCAGTGGTGAATGTGGTCAACATCCATGTCCTCCCAAATATCACAGAGAGTGCAGAAAGGGGCCTGTGCAACATGAATTCGATGAAGATGTTTGACGAGACTGTCGTGTCCAGTAGCCAGACGAAACTCGGCAATTGCTTTGCGTCTTGGCCACATGGGAAGATCTTTAAGATTATTCCACCAGATCTTATTGAAATTTCTCTCTGTGTATTGAATTGACATTCACTAATATTATGACTATAAAATGTATCCAAAAACAGATTTAAGAAAACTGTGTAGGTAATTTTAAAATGGTAAAAAGACGCTATAAAGCTCTTTTAATTTTTTA